ATGGATTGTGATAAGAGTTGTATGAGCCCCCCGATAAAATGATTTTCAAAAGAAAAATATATATAAATTATCAAGAGTTCAAGAAGGAGGGAGAGTGGGGAAGGGGGGGAAATGAGCTGATACCAAGGGCTCACGCAGAAAGAAAATGTTTTGAAAAGAATGGTGGCAACATATGCATAAACGTGCTTGACGCAATGGATATATGTCTGGATTGTGATAAGAGCTGTACCAACCCCCAATAAAATTATTTGAACTTTTAATTTTTAATGCCTCATTAAATGCACTAAACTTGCAATTTTCTCAACATCTTTAACACCTCGGCATTCTAAGCATTGCTGTTCAATTTGTTTTTTTTAAATTAAGGAATCCACAACAGAAAGCATGTGGAGCCCCGCTCCTGCCAGACCGGCCCCACGCGGGGCAGTGAGAGCGCTGACACCCACCTGTGCGTACTGGGTATGGGGGAAGGGGCTTTCCGTCTCTGGCAAAGGCCCGGGACTCCGGGTGCTGTTTACATAGTTCTCCTCTTTGCTCATCAGAGACTCTTCCTCGGAGTCCTCTTCCTTCTGGAGAATCTTCCTCATGAAGTCTCTCTTGTCCATCGGAGTCCGGATGATTTTCAGGTTATTTGTGTAGATGATGATCTTTCCAAAATCTATGATAGGTGGGGGCTAGAGAAATAGAAAACGCGCATCGAACCTTCACCACCAACCACCAAGTACTGGCTGCAGAATCTGCCGAGCAACTAGTAAACAGAGAGCAATCACTTCCACCACGACCAATGGGAAAGAAAGTTTAGCTACATTAAAAAGTCTGGCTATTTCACACCGGGCTTATAACCTCTGTTATGCTTGCACATTGGTTCTGAGGCTACTGGTTTGCTCGCTCGGGAAGCCGGGAAACCAGCTCCCAGCGTCCTATTGACGGTAAAGCAGCCAACAGAGAAATAGTCCCGTAAGTAGAGCAGAAGCATCTGGAAGGCATCGGATAGGTGAGAGCTGGGCAGGAGTGCTTCATCCATCTCTGGAGGCGTTAAATATCTCTGCATTATCCTTTAATATTCTTTTTATTTATCCTTTATTGTTGTATTATATTATTGTTATAATTCTTTATTATTCTCTAGTTTTATAATAGTCGACATCTTTGTAAATTTTTTGTTATAATAATACTAGCTAGATACCATTTTTAAGCATAATTTGTGGGTCCAGCATTGTGCAAACATTATCTCACAGAATTCCCCCAACATCCCTAAAGAACAGCATACAGCTGTGAAATTTTGTTTCTTGCTTGGGAAAAATGCTGCAGAATCTGTTGTGATGTTGAACACAGCTTACAAGGACAGCACTATGGGGAAAACTCAAGTGTATGAGTAGCTTTATCATTTCAAAAGAGGTGAAATGTCAATTGATGACAAACCTCATTCTGGACGTCTGTCATGTTGACTTGTAGTGGAGTTGGGGTTCGTTCAGACTGTTAATCAAGCTTTCTGCTTAAAGGTTCTGAAAAGAAAGCCTAACCGTGTGCAACAAAAAAGACCTGATTTGTGGCAGACGGGGGACTGGGTTTGCCACCACGACAGTGCACCTACTCACACAGCCATCTCAGTGCACCACTTTTTGGCAAAAAACAGCATGACTCTCTTGCCCTATGCACCTTACCTCACTCTTTGTGACTTCTTTTTGTTTCCACGAATGAAGAGGGACATGAAAGGACAGCGATTTGATGATGTAGAAGAGGTGAAGAAAAAAACGAGGGAGGTGCTGTCAGCCATCCAAAAAAGTGAGTTTGAAAAATGTTTCCAAGAATGGAATAGCAGATTTGACAAATAGATTCAGTGTAATGAAGAGTACTTTGAAGGTGATCAAGTTTTGTTTTTTTAAAATTAAATACATAGCTTTGAAAAACTAATTCTGTTTTTGGGGTACCCCCGCATATATCCTTTTGTAACCTGTCCCCCCACCCCAGGTTTTCAAATAAGATGGATTTTTATTTTAATAAATATATTTTTAAGCATGGTTGCAAAGAACTCATGTCCCCATTTATTTATCATGTGACACTAAATTGTTTTGTATATGTACAAAATAAATTGGCAGAGTGCTATAATACAGGTGAGGAACTCTGTATTATAGGGAGTTTCACATGGGCCTATTACCAGCAAGTTCTAACCCACCAGCCTGTCCTCTGGAGAAAGATTAGACTATCTACTCCCGTATAGATTTACTCAAAAGTGGCAGTTCTACTCTGTCCTAGTGAATCTCTATGAGTGCAAACTGACTCAATGGCAGTGGTTTATGATAGAGTCGGGCAGCATAGGTAGTAGATAGTTAAGGTTTCATTGACTAAGAACACATATTTCTACACCGGGTAAGGACCACTTTGAGAGAAACCGCACTGGATCCTGAATCCACTGCTTGCTTTCTGTGAGAAGTAAGATAGTCACCTCGTCTCTCAGAATCTCAGTTTGTTCCTCTACAAACAGGTGGGCAGCCACCTGGCAGGTACTACCACAGCTATTAATTACAATATCAAGGCATTTCCATACTGGCGGCTATGGAATGCCCTCTGTTAACCCACTCCCCCCTCAGGGAGGGTCTAGCATGCCCAAAACCCAAGACCCAATCAGTTGCCATTGAACTGATACTGATCCAAACTCATGGTAATCCCACATGTTACAGAGCAGACTTGCACCCCATGAGGTTCTCATTACCTTACCTTTCAGAAGTACATCCCCAGACCTTTCATCCAAGGTACCAATCTTTTGTTTTATAGGCCAGCAAGGAACCACTTGTGCCACCCAGAAATTTCAGAAGTAATACCTTTAACCCCATGTCTCAGAAACTGTCCCAGCACTCTGCCAACGTCCATGTTGGCTGGACCATGGCCCTGTGGTTAAAGATCTTGACTCTCATCTCTGAAAGGAACCACGTCAACTTCTAGGGGTGGGTATGTTAAGATGAATATACAAAACAGTGTTTGAGAAATCTGAAGTTCCTGTGAAAATGGTAGACATTGTTACTGGTTTACTCATTTAAAATTGTTCGTCAATAGTGCACACACACTTGAATTATACAAGCAGATGCCTCGGCCGACAGTTGCACCGCTTATAAAACTATGTATGTATTGTTGTTAGATACTGTGGAGTCTGATTTTCACTCAGAAGAGAACCCTGTGACAATGTAAAACTGCCCACATGGAGTTTTCTAGGCTGTAATATTTGCAAAAGCAGGTCCCCAGATGAGCCACTAGAAATAACTAAATAAAACCTCCACCATCAATTCAGACTCATAGTGACACAATGTAGGGTTTGGGAGACAGTAGGTGGCCCTGTCTTTCTCCAGTAGAGCAACTGGTAAGCTTGAACCACAGACCTTGCCATTAGTAGTCCAGTGCTTATCTGGGAGGGCCATCAGTGCTCCTTGGCAGAATCACACCAAACTCACTGCTTTCAACTCAATTCTGACTCATAGCAATCCTGTAGGACAGAGTAGAGCTGCCCCTTTGGGTTTCCAAGGCTATCAGTCTTCATGGGAGCAGAAACCTCATGTTTCCCCCTGGGAGAGGCTGGTGTTTTCCAACTGGAGAGCTTACAGTTGGCTGTCCAGTGCCTGACCCAAGACCTCACCAACCTTTCAGTTAGCAGCTCAGAAAATCGCTATTATGTCTCAAGGATGCCTTATACAACTGTACAGACCTGTATAAAGCCTGTTTAGATCTATTCGTGTGCTTTACAGAGGAGAGCCGTGTCCTATGTGAAGTTCTCCTGCACGCATTCAGGCCCTCCTTGTTTGGCCGGAGCTTCCATATTTTGATTCCCTTCCACCCAGTCCCCACGGAGCATTCCATAATCATTTCCTAAGCCCCAGCTTCCTCTCCAACCCTGTTTTCTCTCCCTCTCTTCAGGGATCATGTGGCAGCTTCCATTGCCTATTGTCTTATGCACACCGGATTCCTATTTCACACTCCGGACTATCAGTTTCTGACCCTCAGAAGATAAGGATGGTGGTACTCTTGGAAGGTTCCATTTCTTCTCCCAGTGAGGGCTAAAGAGGTTCAGTTACTAGGAAGCTTTCCGCAAGGGCAGCCGGTTGTTTCAAGGCAAAACGCTCAATATGCTATCAGAAGCAGGCACCCCCTGCTCCATGCCCTTGTTTCTAAGCAGGTCAGTGTCTAAGATGCCCAGGACAGAACATTCATGTTGAATTCTCTCCAAGGATGGAGGGTCTCAAATCACTATAAGGAGTGTTTAAGTTCAGTCACCCTGACAGCCAAGTTCTTCCTTGTGCCTAAGGAAACTCTTGTGTAACCAAAGTTCACATTATCTAGTTACTTCTGATTGCCCGGGAGAAACACCCACTCTTACATTACAGAGCACCGAGATGGAGCCAGGGATGTTTTGTTTCCTCTCACAATGTCGTGTGCAGACACATATGATTGAGCATTTGTAGATACGGCAGTGACGGTGGTAGCAACATGCCCGACGACAGCTCTTCAGGCACCACTGAAATGCTTTGCTTTTCAGTGACACAGAAATATATCACTGCCTCCACCCCAAAACCAAACTCACTCCCATTGAGTCGAGACCAACTCATCACCAGCCCTACAGGACAGGTATCCTGCCCCTGGGTATTCCAAGACCGTACTCTTTCGGGAGTAGAAAGCCTTGTCTTTCGCCCTTGGGGAGGCTGATGGTTGCGAGCTGCAGACTCTGCAGTTAGCAACCCAGCACATAAGCCACTGTGCTATCAGGGCTCATCTAACTGGTTACTAGGAACCAAATGGCCTTTAGAGTCAGGCAGACCAAACTCCAATTTCATTCAAACATTATTTGCCAGCTCTGTGATATTTTCAGGTTATTTCACCTCTGTGAGCTTCCATTTTCCAATTCATAAAACGATCATAAAATTGTTGTGCAGCTAGAATTACATGAAATGTATGCATAACATGAGTGCTTAGCATGTTACCTCCTTTCCTATTTCTTTGCCCTATACTAAAAATCTTATACACTTGAAACAATTTCACTTTCTTGAAGTGATGTACATACTTTTAACCATTTTCTCTACTCAACACATTAAAACATTCTTTGGTAAGAATTTAATTATGATCATAATGGCAGCTAATATCACTAAGCACTCATAATGTGCCAGGCACAATGCCAAGGGTTTGTGTCTATTTACTATCTTTTTAATCACAGCAACGCTCTTAAGAAGGTTTTTCATTACTACTAGTCTACAAATGATGACACAGAAGCTCAGAAAGGTACCGTGACTTTGCTAAGCTCACACAATAACTAAGTAGAATGGGACATGAAGCTCAGGTTTGTCTGCCACCAGAGCCTTCACTTCTAATCATTGCACCGAACTGCTACACATCATGGCCCCATTGTCAATCATCAAACCAAGCCGAACCATTATTGTCAAGTCAATTCCAACTAATGGCAACATTGTGCAACAGAGCAGCACACCCCCCGGGGAGTCCTGGCTCCAATCTTGCCAGAAGCAGATGGCCAGCCTTTTCTTCTGTGGCGTTGCAGGGTGGAATTGAACCACTAACCTTTAGGTTTGTAGTCAAGAGTCAACTATTTTCACACCCAGAGAAGTAATCATTATTTACCAGAGGTGATGTTGCAAGTAAGGATCCCAAGTGGAACCAGTGGTTAGTTAAGTCCTTGGATACTAACCAGAAGTGAGTCAAACCCACCAGTTGCCTGGTGGAGAAGAGAGAGGGCCATCTGCACCAGTAAAGATGACAGCCTTGTAAACCCTGTAGGGAAGTTCTCTTCTGTCCTATAGCATCACTGTCTGTCAAAATGGACTCTCCAGCAGTGGGTTTGGGGTATCTAACAATGACTGACATGCAATTGCAAAATTATGACCTTCCAGCTCTTTTTTGCTTTGCTTTTCATAATCATTGGGTGAAATTCCAGGAATCCATCCTGGCTAAGGTTAGGTAACGTTACCTAAGATTAGGGCATGGCATTTGATCAGGCAACAAAGAAAGCAAGCATTACTGGACCCATGAGAAATCGAACCTTGAACTTGGCCACAAGTGTAAATACTATGCTTTGACCAACTGCTTTATACAGCCAGATTCATGTGTCTGGCATTATACAAAGAGTTTCCCTAATCCATGTGGAACTCTACATTTACATAGATGCCAAACTGGGCACACACTTTAGAAGGTTGAAGTATCTGCAGTGGCCTGGTACAAGGCTGGGGTGAACAACAACTTTGTAAATGCTGTACCTACTAATTAGGTATACACAACAAGAAATACTGTCAATGTAAGGCACAGTCAAGAATAAAACATACAATAAATGGCAGATAGCATTTTCACCAAAGCCTGGTGGTGCTATGGGTTGTACGTTTGCCTGCTAACACAGACCAACATTTCGAAATCACCAGTCGCTCCATGGGAGAAAGATACGGTTTTCTGCCCCTGTCAAGGTTGATAGACTCGGAAACCCACAGGGGCAGTTCTACTCTGTCCTACAAAGTAGCTGTGAATCAGAATTGACTCAATTGCAGTGTTTGATTTTGGCTTTATGGTATTCATATCATTATGATCATCATGCAATAAACAGAGCAAGCCATAGGGCAAAAAGCACAGGAAATCAGAAAACCTAGATTCTTACCCTAACTCTGTACTTAAAAAAACCAAACTCATTGCCATCAAGCTGATGGACACTGGTGATGCCCCTAAAGGACAGAGCAGAACTGCCCCCTTAACTCTTTTTTTTATTTTTATTGGGGCTCATACAATTCATCACAATACATAGATCAATTGTGTAAAGCACATCTATACATTTGTTGCCCTCATCTCTTTAAAGGGGTAGAAAGCTCCGTCTCTCTCTTGCTGAGCAACTCGTGGTTTCGAACTGGTAGCTTTGCAGTTAGCTCAATACGTAGCCACGACATCATTCTGCACTTAAGGACCCTAAAATATTGGGTGCATCCTTCCACAGCTTGCCACTGAATCTTATTCTGCAAAATGGGAAGGACTGCAGTTTGCTTCTCTCCCTAGGGTTGCGGTGAAAGGGTTTTGAGTTAGTGTGTGAATGTGCTTAGCAAGGCAGAAGGCCTCCCCACAGAGCAGCGGGTGGATTTAAATGGATGACCTTGTAGTTAGCGGTCCAGCACTTACCCTGTGGTGCTACCAGGGCATTCTAATATGGGGAGGAGGGCGTTAATTCCAGCTCCTTTTAATTTCAAAGAGATTCCCAGTATTATATTTGATAAATGTGTCCATACCCATAATTACACTTTTACCAGTGCCAGCAAGGCCAATACATTTGTCTACAGTGGATGTATTATACTATCTGCTCCCTTAGGAAACTAACAATAAAAATGATTAGAGAGTAATTATCTGAATTTTACATTTTAAAGATGAAAACATATCCTGGTGTGCTATTCATTAATAACCTAGGATGTTGTATAATTGTATTTAATCTAAAAAATTTTTTAAAGATACTCAAGGGCCCACCAGAAACAGTGCATATACCTATGTGTGTTTTTGAAAATCAGTGAATATTTCCCATAGCGATCTCTCTTAAAATAAAACCATGCACGGGATTTTGATTATTCATGGTATAGGGAGTATATAATTGAAACTCACAAATAATGCAATTGCTTCAATTTTGCCATTAGCTCATACTTCTTCCCCAAGTCCCATTTCCTCTGGTTGATTTGTTTTTCACCATCTCTTCCCAGGACTGCAACTAGTGTTCGTATTAATAAGCAGTAGAAGGGCAAAATAAGTAAGCAAGCATTTTTGTAAAGCAGGCAGCAGGAGGGAGATACAAAGAGAGGGGGAAAGGGGAGAGATACTATGTCAAACCACAAGCTGGATAACTCATTGCAGAATAATTGGTTGGAATAAAATGTGCACCTTTAAATACTTAGCTCTTTCAAGAAACAAAAGGATCCATTGCCACATGATTTTCGAAAACGGCCGCTGAGCAGCCTGGAGATGACTTCCGCTCGATTTACTGACATAGTGGACCAGCCAAAGACCCAATAACAGTGCATCACCCTGGCTGGAACTTAAATGCCATATATGCTCCTGGCACCTTCTGAAAGCTCGCAACAAGTATTTTACTCTGGTTTCAGAAATATTATTCTCATACCAGCTTTCTATTTGCTGTCATCTATAGCTCTGTGTGGTACCTGAGTCTGAGCAAGATCCAAATCTAAAGCATTTAAGTATTTCTCTAAACTAACGTGGGATTGCCATGAGCCAGAATTGACTTAATGGCAATGGGTTTAGAAGAAAGCTTAGTGATCCACTGCATAAAGTCGGCCGGCGAAAACCCCATGGGTCACAGCAGTCACGTCCTTAGAGTGATGGGACATCAGGGGACAGGGCAGCGTTTCTTCCCATCTTTCATCAGAGTCAGGGACCCGTTCGACTACAGCTAACGACCACAACTAAACACCTTTTTAGGAATTGCTACCCATAAAGCTTATTTTCCATGCATAATACCAACCTTATGGTCATTCATCTTGTAATCGTTGAAGAGAGACTGGCTGCCCGCCACAGTGTAAGCACTGCCCTCCCTGAACACACTGATCCTCTGAGCTGTCAGCTTAGGGGTGCACAGTCGGGGCTTGGGGGCCTCCCCAGACCCATAAACACCATCCATTGGCTCGAGGGACTCTTGGAGAAAGCTGTGAGGGTACTCCCCCTTTGGCGACTCGAGTTCCTGCCCATCCTCAAAGACTTGCTTCAACACCCGGCCACTATAAGAGGAGGAGATTTGAAACCGCACTTTCCGGGGCTTGCTGTCACTCTTCTGGGTCAGCTTCTTCTCGGGGTCCTCCATCAGCAGGTCTTTCACCCTGTCGTGTCCAGGAGTCAGTGTCGCCGGTGAAACCTGGGACGCTGAGAAAAAGGCATTTTATTTTCTCTCCTCGTGCATATAATTAATTGAAGCTGATGCTGGGGTATGCTCAGCTTACAGCAACTGACACCCGCAAATTAAATATTGATAGACCCACATGAAGAGGCAGGCGATTGTGGGCTTATGGAGTGGATGAAGCGTGAGACAAGATTGAACCCTTTTCTGACCCCAGTCTCAGTCATTTAATTTCCTTAACCTAAACATGCCGGCATTATTCAGACTGAGCAATTGGATTCAATAAAAACCAGATCATCAGTTAGAAAGTGTTTTTTTGTTGATTGTTGTGATTGTTGCTACTAATGGTTATGATTTATTGAACATTGCATATGTCCCGGAGATTTTTTTTCAAGCATTATTTTACTTCCCATTAACTGTACAAAGAACTATTATCTCCATTTTACAGGAGAGCAAACCGAGGCTTTCCCACATTTGTCCTCTCCATTCATTGGACTGCTAACCTCAAGGTCAGTAGTTCAAAATCACCAGCCCCTCTGTGGGAGAAAGATAAGACTTTTTTCTCTGGTACGGACGGATACTCTCAGAAACCGACAAGAACAGTGTGTCTCCCTCTTACTGAACGGTTGTGGGGAGGAGATGAACCAATCAGGGTGCAGGGTAGCAATGATGAAACATATAACTTTCCTCTAGTTCTTAAATGCTTCCTCCCCCCACTATCATGATCCCAATTCTACCTTACAAATCTGGCTAGACCAGAGGACGTACATTGGTACAGATAGCAACTGGAAACACAGGGAATCCAGGACAGATGACTCCTTCAGGACCAGTGGTGAGAGGGGCGATGCCTGGAGGGTGGAGGGAATGTAGGGTAGAAAGGGGGACCCGATTACAAGAATCTAAGTATTGCCTCCTCCCTGGGGCGGGGGGATGTCAGACAGTGTAACTTATGACAAAATTATAATAATTTATGAATTATGAAGGGTTCATGAGGGAGGGGGCAGTGGGGATGGAGGGAGGAAATGAGCAACTGATATTAAGGGCTAAAGTAGAAGGCAAATGTTTTGAGAATGATGAGGGCGACAAATGTACAAATGTGCTTGACACAATGGATGGATGTATGGATTGTGATAAGAACTGAACGAACCCCCAATAAAATAATTTTTTTTAAAAAAGAACAGTGTGTCTTTGTCCTAGAGAGTCGCTGTCAGTTAGAATTAACTTGATGGCAGTAAATTTGGTTTGGAAGACTCAAACACAGATCTGTCTGATTCCAAACCCCATTATAATTTCATTGAGCCAAACATTTTCAACCTATGTTTCTAGAACTTGATACCTAGAATTTCTGCTTGGAGCAGGAGGAGGACATGGGTCCTGCATTCTGGCCCTTGTGTTGTTGGTAGTTTTTGTCCAGTCAGCTCTGACTCAGGGCAAGCTCATGTATGACAGAATGAAACATTACTCTTTCCTATGCTGTCCTCATATGTTGCAGGCACTGTACCAATCCATCCCGTGAAGGCTTTCCCTCATTTCCACTGACCTTCCATTTTTCCAAGCATGACAACCTTTCCTAGCAATTGATCTTTCCTGATGATACGTCCCATGGAGACAGGACAAAGACTCATCATCCTTGATCCTAAGGCGTACTCTGCTATTCTTCCTCCAAGACAGACTTGTTCATCCTTCTGGCAGTCCATGTGCAATAGTTTTCACTAACGCCACAATTCAAACCTATGAATTCTCCTTTGGTCTTCCATTCTCACTGTCCAGATTTCACATGCATAGGAGGCTTGGGTCAGAGTGGCATCTTGGACTCTTACTCATGATTACCCAGAGTAATTAGACTTTGCATCTATTTTATACTTAAGATTTTATTTGTTAACACTACTGTCTCCTTCCCTCCAACATGTGTACAAATGTCCTATTGTGCACAGGACCTAGTAAGTGCCCAACACAGTGATCATCATTAGGATTAAAATCAGAGAAACATGAGATGTGGGACCCAACGAAAACTGTCCTGAAACCAAGGTAGGACTAATACAATGAAATCATGACTGTGCACTGGAGACTCTCGGAATAGCCATTTGATAACTATCTCAACCTCTAAGGAGGCAATGATGGAAGGCTCATTAAGGAAGGGGCCTTGGGTTGAATTTGCAAGAATGGGTCACTAACTAGAGGGTAGACACATATTAACTTGGGTGAAAATGAACATATATAAGTAAAAAATTAAAAAGAAAGAAAATATTATCTTTTTTATTTATTTTTTTCAAACAGGTGGTTGCGTGCCACGAGCCTGAACCAATATTATCTTTTTTAAATCCAAGAGTTTTTCACAGTTATTTTGATATTTAAACTATTACTTTTAAGGTATTTCCCTGTGTCACAGTTTTTTTCTATTTTGTTGTTGTTGTTATAACTTGAAATGACTGGCAATATCTTTTTTACACTGATTACAAATGGTTCCCATCGAGTTCTAACGAGATGCCCTTTGTTGTTTCTTCTTTGAGCTCATTAATTTCAGAGCCCTGCTCTTTCTCTAAATCCACTTTAGTAATTATTTTTTGCAAACTAAAAAGGATTGATCAGGGTTGCACTTTGAAGAGATGAACTGATGGAAGTATAGCCTTTCTCCACATTTTTACTAATGACATCATCACTCATTGGCCCAGACTGATTTCTCTCAAACTTCTATAGTCATGGGCTGCATCGAAGTTGTGTTTCCTTACCCACTCCACCAGCATGAGTTCTGTTCAAGTTCTCCTCTCTTCTACTTCGAAAGTTCCAACAACCTCCTAACAATATATCTAGCTATCCACAATTCTCTTCTTCATATCAAGACCAGGATGACTGTTCTAAAAACCAAGATTGTGTATGTCACTCTCCTGCTGAAAAACCTTTCCCAGTGGTCTAGGGCATACATTTTTAAGTGCTAGCTCTTCCCAGAAGGCCTAAGGAATCATTCTGCTCTGAACCACGTTGGGCCTCCACTAGTTGAAATGGACAAGATGGCAATGGGTTTGGATTTCAGATTTTGGTTCAACTCTCCATGAGGCAAGCAAGACTTCTCAAAACCTCGCCTCACCTTCCTTTGAAGATCCAACCTCTGCTACTCCTCTAGGTGCTGCCTAGAATTGGTGTTCCAGAAACACCAATAAATAAGCTCAGTTGTTTCTCAAAACCAGGATTATGATTATCTCTGTTTCCTGATTGGAGTGTCAAACTTCTCCTCCTCCTTCAGGTCACACCTGAAGCATCTCCGCTCTGGGAAGCCTTCCAAGTCTCAGGGAGAATGAAGTGGAACTTTGAACCCACTGCCATTCAAGTGTGTGCCACTTTGTCTGCCATTAAACGCATCCCTCCCCTACATTAAACTGGGAACATGACAATCAGAGTTTTCTTTATCATTTCTCCATCCCCAGTGTCTGTCACAATGCCTGGTGCATAACAGCACTCTTAATATTGTAGAACAAATTACTTCCAGGTGAGAGATGTAATTTAAACTTTGGCTATGGGAGTTGAGCATATTTTGTGACAAGCAGTGAAGGAAAAAACACCTATATCTCTTTAGTAGATTTTCATCGTTATAAGGTCCCTGTGTGCTTGTACAGGATTGATGGTGGGCAAGGGGGTAATATAAGGAAATAGCATTTTTTAAAACTTTATAACATCAGATGACACATTTAACTGGGCTTCTGAGGATGTAAAGGTGCCCACGAAGTGCCAAGAATGGATTATACGGCCTGATCCCTTAGTTTTTAGGGCAGCCAAATATGGTCCTGAGCCTCCCAGCTGCTCATTCATTTATTCCAATGCATAGGAAACTTAGTATTACCTACATGTGCCATGACATGAAAAATTATTGGGAAACCCTAAGTAGGAGAATATTTTCTTATAGTCATCTCAGGAAACAAGTTACTAATAAATATCCAGTGGATCTACTTTTATCTAGAACGCAAGTAAACTGAGTTTCACAACTACTTGTCAAATAAATATTTTCAACTGCCTAAAAAATGAGCACCATTGGCACACATTACAGTTGTTGTTGGTATTTACCATCCATTCTACCAGACCCAGGCATGCCGAGTAGAAAGGCTGTCACTTTTCCGAAGCAGATTGCCAGATGTGTGTTCCAAGGATCTTCTAGGTGGGGTTGAACTACCAACCTTTCAGCTCATAGTTAAGTGCCTAATAATTTGTGCTCGTCCTCACCTGCCAGGACTCCTTCATTAAGAAACATGGCCTTTCAGAAGGGTTGACTTAAACCGGACTCGAAATAGTCATGTTACTGCTACTTGACAATATGACATTAGAATTATGAACTACAGACCCAACTTTAAACTGAATTGGGTCCTGCCTATGAAAAGGAATCTTAAATTGGGTAAAGAAATAAAAGCTGGCTACAAACATTCTTGAGGTAAGGACCAGGTAATATGGAAGGGACCAGATCAAATGCAGGGATGCACATGGTAGACAACAGGGGAGGAAGTGGG